TGAAATGCCAGCTATCATAAGCCATACCTATACAATCAAAAACGAATTAAAAGAAAAGGCTAACTTTATAACCTTAGACAAATTTATACCTCCTCACGCTCCCCTGTAATTCCAAAATACGGACCACAACTGTAATAATCTCTTAAGACAAAGAAAGAGGAGATTGTGAGAAGACAAATTGACAGTACATGCCTCTACGCTACTGTCATGTTAGCCACAGGGAGTGTTTTACCTGCTTTCCGGTAGGCGTGGCCATCTTGTGAAATAGGCTAATTCAGTAACCTGCATGTCTATTTGGTGTATGCTTGTTGTGATTGGTGAACATCCTGTGCTTGTCTCCCCTCTCAGCTGAATCTCATCACTCGCTTTCGTATCCTAATGAGCGAGTTACGTGTTTTTTTTTTTTTCTTTAAAAATTTGGCATCTCCAATCCCACCTGAATCTGGAATGCCCAATTGGTGAACTATGTACGAGGCTTGCTCGTATGCGACCCCTTGCTGCCAATTCAGGAGATTGTTGACAGTTTGCGGCTCTCCTCCGAAGCATGCACCTGTCAGCCTGCTGCTTCTTATACACTCATTGGTTGAATCTTCGCAAGTTCAGAAGGAGGGCGGAGGATACCCGGACATGAACAGGCTTAGAATCTTCCTGACGAGCGCCCGTCTGGCCAACAGGAGGCGCTTGAGCAACGAACAAGGCAACACTTATTTTCCCTTCCCGGCAGTCCCTTCCCAATTTGCAACCCTGTAGCGCAATAGACAATTGTGCGCTACTCTGAAAAAGCTGCCAACCACTGCCGGCTAGTACGAGGCAGGGATCGAACCCGTGACGTGATAGTCACTTCTGCTTCGCAATGCGATTCTTGACCGAGTGAGCTATCCGGCAGCTCCCAGAGTGACAGGTTTTTACGCCTTCTCATGCTTGTGCGTGTTGCTGGATTGTAAAGTTGCATTCGCACTGAAATCCTAGTCATATGTATGTCAGTTAAACTTCTTCTTCTTCGTCTTCGTCTTCGTCTTTGTCTTAATGCAACCAGTACTTTCGTGGCAGCTGAAGTCTCTTTTAAATCTTTATCGTCATCAGTCAATTTGAACAAGCTGCCAGTCCCAATTAGGGTCCAGGGTTGGGACCAGGTTCAAATTAGCTGAATTCAATCCTGTTCTTCAATTTTAGGATTGGAAACTTCTTCTCGGAAACTTGCGGTCCAGGACTGAGACCGTGTTCGTGTTTTCCTCTCCAAGTCTACTCTCTTTTATCAGGAACTAGCTTCCAACCCTGATCCCAGACCAGGTCTGAGACTGAATTCCTCTCAAGCAACAACCTTCCTCTTCGCAAGCAGGCCAGTGCCGGCAAATGCTTCAGCACCTGGCTGCACACCGGAAGCCACTGGCCGGCAACAGCAGCCAAACATTACCTCATTCTCTCTGGGGTTCTGTCCTCGTCATTTTTGTACTGCTGCCAATAAATCACCAGTTGTTTTGCAAGTCTGTCTCTGCACCTGACTCCTGGTCTGGGCCATAACAGTTTTCGCTTGAATTATTATTATTTATTTATTTATTTATTTATTATTTTTTCAGTGAAATAAACTTGTTGGAAAACCCATTAAAAAGGCTCGGTATCAATTTTTGATTCCTTCACAGTTTGGTATCCAATTCAACTCCATTATTTGTGATTATTTCCAATGGTACTGCTTATCAAAAAAATTGAATTATTGGTCTACTATCAAAAACCATCAGTATTTTGCAGCATTTGGCTGGAAGCTGATTCCATCCTCTTTTATCAGATGTAGCAACAGTCGTTGAAGGGGCGGGACTAGTGAATACTTTGCTACAGGCAGTTTATCAGCTAAAATAATGGATTGCACAGCTAACTTAGGTCACTGTCTTTCCTGATTGTTTGCTGACCTTAGTGCAAAAACAAAAACCAGAGGTTTTTCAAGCGCTTTTGGATCGTGAGATCTTGGATTTCTGCCATAAAGAATCCTTTACTGTCTTCATTAAAAGTAGGGGAACAATGCAACTTTGTAAGATGATGTGCAATAAAAACTGTATGCAGCTATGCATTACAGTGCAATGGGTATGTAAGTTATTTTCTGATTGACGTGTAAGGAATTCAACTTCCTGTGAACTGCGCACAGTGACTGCCTCAGTGTACATTTCATTTGTTCAAAGTTAAATATGGTCGGTTCTGGATTTCTGAGGAATAAGACAAGCTAAAATCATTATGTTTCCAGACTGGTGCAATGGGCTGACCCGAGATATAATCAACCTGTTTTTAAGTTGAAAATTACTTTCAGCAGCGTACTTTTAAGTTTCCAGATACTGTTCGGCATCCGTGCAGATTGCAGAAGTACAAATACGGTGTATCTAATTCCATCTCCATCAACACAGTGGCTCTGTTCAATTCATCAGGCTTCTTTCTTTCCTTCATTAATAATTCAACCCCTCCCCTAACCAATCACTTAGGCCATATAATGAGGCAATCAGACCGCTGGAGCATGAATCAAATATTATCTGACTAAGCCGCAGTCTAGGAAGAATGCCCTGGTAATCAAGGTCTGAATTATGCAATTGCACCATTCTTACTCGGGAGAACCTTACCAGCCCCTCACAGACTGCAGACTGACCAGCATTTGAGATTCAGGGAAATATGTCCATTGCCCTGCAAGCAAATATGTTGTTCAAATGTGTCTCTACTGTGCATGAACTTTTTCTTGGCCAGAAACATCAAGCTGATGACTTGTTTTATTGCACAACTATAAGCAATCGATCTAATGTCAATTGCATCACAACCAGAGGTCTGATACCGTACATTAAGTTGGATACTGTAGCCATATGTCTTGATGTGATATGAGTAAAAGCATGTTTTTGTCATAAAATTATTGCCTTTACTACATATTATAGTATAACTGTGACAATGCCAGTGGATAAAAAAATGTAAATTGCATAAAATTGTTATTTCTGATTGTAATATTGCAAGTTTAATAGAAAATATGTTTCCTGGTTATTTCCAGCTAATAAAAAAGCAAAAAGGATGATAAACATGTTTGTAGGTTTGTGTTTATTTTTATAACCTGAGCCGAGATTTGGTTCCTTTTATGCTGTGTGTATGAATCCATTTGTGAATGCCAACGCTTACGAAAGTGTAATTTTAAAAGCCAGTGCAGTAAACTTTGTGAATCTTTTAATACCTGCTCTGACTCACTTCAGTCACTGCCCTGTGTCACCTCATTAGTCTGAGAGGTGTCAAGGCAGATTAGATTATTGATGGTTCCACCACTTTACTTTTATTTCGCTTTTTCAGGAGCTGACATGGATTGTTAGAGTTCTGTTTTTCAGTCGATGTTTAACTTGATATTCCCCTGAATCCACAAATGTTCTTTCCTTTCAAAGTTGTTCTGATGAATACTTGCTATGTGAATTTATTATGATTTGACTCGAATGTAGCAATGTCTGAAATCAAATGGATTTGCTCCGTTGGCTCCAACAGAACAATTTTATGTGAAGCACAGGCCATGATGACCTCTCTATTTACCACAAACTGAATGAATGACTCATCCTCTATTGGAGTTGCTAAATGTCACTAATACCAAATAAGAATTGAAAATTAATTTGTTAAACCACAAAAAAAAAAAAAAAAAAATCATGTGTCAAGTTCTCCGCACGACTGTCACCTTCAGTCCTCACTGCGGATGATTTTACTGTCTTCCATTGCTGACAGCTGCATTTTCTTAAAGGGGAACTCAAATGCATCAGTAGTCCATTCTCTCCCCAGCCACTTATCACCCCCCCAAACACCCAGAACGTCTCTCAGCCTGCTAACCTCACACTGGTACTGACCGCTCTCAACTCCTGTGACCTCATCACTACCCTGCTTCCTGGATAGCATCTCTAAACCCTTTTGACACTTCACATTTAATTTCTTTTCATATGAAGTCATCAACTAAAGGTGCATCTGACCTTTAAAATAATTCTTGTCTCTCCCCCCCAGACATGTAAGTGTCCACTCTAGACAGTATCCTGTGGATCCTCAAAGTAGTAACAGAAAATAGAACAAGACTACTGGGAACTAATTTACAGGTACACGCATTCAGATGCCCAAATGATTCATACAAAATCTTTTTTTTTTTTTACTGAGTCAGGAGATTTTGGGCGTTTCTGTGTCTGAACCGTCAAAATAAACTTTTGACGCGGCTCACCTGACATTAACTTTAGGATGTCCTGGAATAGCTCTAATAAGCAGTTGTGGAACTACCTGTTCTGTCTGTGGTCCTTGCACCAGACATGCTGGTCAGTATTTATTCAGTACGTGGGTGCAATGACGGGTGGCAGGCTACTGTTGATCTGCCCAGGAGTAAGATGTGCTTAGATCATCCCATTCCTTCCTGTATGGAGAAAAAAAGCAAGGGAAAATTTCATCTCATAACATGAGCCATATAACTCAGAAGGAGATGCAATAGAGGCAGGCGATGGGTCCATTTCCCATAGAACCGCATGTTTTGGGAAATGGTTCTTATTGCTGTCACCCTGCTTCACTCTCACTGCTACTAGTTTATGAGACATACAGCAGCTGGACAAGCCATCAGCAGTATCCCTGAAATGTGGCTTTGACTTTGAAATCTGTAAACCACAATTGCAAAAGCTTCTTCACAGGTCGCACGTATCAATAAGAATGCTAATTAATGGCACATATCTGTTTAAAATGGGTACAGTACGAACAGCAACAATCTGCTTAGAGAGTCACAAAATCAAGATGAGGATATTAACAGTTTGAAAGGGGTCCAACAGTAGGTGTCTGAATTGGAGGTGTGCCTGTCACAAAAACAGCAAAATTATTTGAGGTGGCAAGGTGACTGGATCAAAATTAAGACAGCCGTGAGTTTAAGTGTTCCATAATGGTGACAAATTTCTGTCACGGGGAAGTAAAAATAATCACTTCTGACATCAACAACAATTTGAGGATGTATTTTTTTTGGGATCATAATGTGGCAGGCTGAAGGAGGGCCCTGGCGGGGAATTGAACCCCAGACTCCCCGGTAAAAGTCAGACATGCTGACCACATCACCAAAAAGCCAGGCTCATTGGCAAGGACCCTTCAACTGTCGCAATAAGTTCTCAGCACTTGCAGCATAAAAGCTGGCCAGTCTTTCCGAGGACAGAAGCACTGGCACAGGGTTTTAAATAAGGAAATCAAATTCAACTGAAGTATGCAAATGGCTGGACAGGTGACAGTTTGTCTCACTGGCTCCTTCCAATCAAACAGCACGCTATTTTGTTGCAATCTCAGCAAGTTTCATGTTTATTCAAGACAGCACTTGCTGCACTAACGCTGGCTGACTGGCCTATACTGGATAACAGGCACAGAAAGGCATTACTACATGGCCCAATCACCACACGCTTCCTAAACTGAATTGAGAACAACAGAAATAAAGAAAGAATTCAACCTGACGTTTGCTGGCTTCAAAAATTTATGAAGCTCACTCCTCATTCCTTAGAAGCCTATGACAGAACATAACATACTTTGTGTATGAATGTTCAATAATATAGCTTGGCTGTACTTAACCAAAACCACATAGCTTGAAAAATGCAATCTCACAGTTCCGTGGGCCAAGTCCAAGTCAGTATTTCACTGTTTGGCTGTTCAGTTAGGTTTATATCTCTGTTTTACTTTTCCCATACGTGTTTTTGGGTCATTTGTTTCAGTTAATCAGTTAATCTTCCTTGTTATCCTATGATTTTCAGTTGAATTTGTAATTCGTTTCTTTAGTGGTGCTTTGCTTATGTTTTCACCTTTGTTTTTTATGTCAACGTGCATCTGTTTACCTTTCCCTTCCTTGTGCCATGTCTGTCATTTGACTAATTATATCATTGTCTCATTATCTTGCACCTCTCTTTGTGTTCCTCTCGCCCCGTTCCTCACCCGATTCCTGTTGGCTCATTAGACCATGGATACAGTGCATAACAAATCTGTCATAAAAAAATGAGAAAACATGAATATTTAAGAAATTTGTCAAAAACTTGTTTAAAACTAAAAATTATTTTGTTATTTCTTTGGCAAATAACAAATTGAAACCACTAAATAGTCCTTATTCACACACAAAAACCAAAAAAACTATATTTTGTATGGCCTCCTTTGGCCTTGATAAAAGCTTGCATTCTTGCATTCAACCACTAAAACTAATTTTTATGTTCAGGAATGCAAGAAAATAAGTTAATTGGCATCTTAATCAAAAACTAATGATTTGCTTAACTTTTTTTTTCAGCTTTTTTGTAAAACGGTAAATTCGAAAATTCATGGATAACAACAATAATTATATTTTAGCATTTAGAATATCATTTCAGTTAAAGAGCTTGCGCATACTGGTAGATTAAACATTTCAGAAACATAAAAATGATTTTGGTAACGACCAATACTGTTAATTTAGGGCAGCTGTGGCATAAACCTTCCATTGGGTGGTGGTCTAATAAATTTGTTAAGCACTGAATTTATCCCCTTGTCATCATCCTGTTCATTTTGAGTTCATCACAGTTGATTTGTCCCAGTCTGTTTTCCAGTTTCAAGAAGTAGATTCTGCCTTTGTTCTGGTTGCCCAATCTGCCTGATGATTCAATCCTTGCCTGCTTTCTCCACTTAAGTTTTTTGATTGCGAGTCTCTACAGTATTTTGCACTCTCTGGTTTTTGACCTTGCCTGTTTCAACTTCGCTCTCTGGATTTACCTGCCCTAGTAAACTCTGGTTTATTTTCACGTACCATCTGTGCCTGAGTGCATACGTGACTCCTGACAACTCCAAAAAAAAGGGTATTCAAACTGAACAATCATTGCACCACTTTCAGGGATGCCAGGTCCAAGTTAAGTCTCCAGCCCAAGTGTTTCTCAAAAAGGGCAGGCTGCTGTACATCCAATTTTTCCTGGAAATAGTGAAATTTCACCATGAGTGGCCTGGATGGGTCTCCCTTTCTTGGCCTCTTCTTCTGGCTGCTGTGCAGCGTCCACAGTGGGCCTGCAGTCTAACTGGAACAGCGATGGCTCCATGGAGGTGAAGGGCAAGAAGTTGATAGCAACTCAACCCAGGCAAGTTAGTGCAGGAGCTTGTCTCGGAGGATGTGAGGCAGCACTGAATGGTCTCTAACTACTGGATGGTCCACTTGGTCTCAGTTTGTCAACTGAATTATGGGTGGAAACATAAGAAACTGACAGATACATCCAACTGTTTACAAAAAACTTTCCAGAAATGTGAGGCAAACTGGGACCCCTGATCTGATGCCACATCAGTCGATGAGCTTTGGAGCTTAAATACATGCTGATTGAGAAGCTCCATGGTTTCTTTGGCTGATGGATGTGTGGGAGGAGCCACGAGATTGACAGTCCTGGAGAGAGGGACCACGATGGTGAGAATGGAGGTGTTGCCTTTCAACACAGGCAGGCTACTGATTAAGTCTAGGGTGATGTGTGACTGAGATTCATGGGGAACAGGCAGGATGAATTTTGAATTCTATTGGCCTATATTATCCAGCTAGATTCAGCTAAATGCTTCAAAACTCATTTGGTGGTGCTTCACAATGCTGATGGACACTGATTCAAAGCACACTGCACAACCAACTTGACAATATTTTAAGGTGAAGAAGTAGGATATTCTACAATGGCTAAGTCAATTACCTGTCTTGAATCCGAAGGAGTATGTCCTTCACTTTCTGAAGGCAAAACTGGCAGAAAAATGCCTCGAGAACAACCAAGAACAGAGGGCAGCTGCAAAGAAAGCTTGGCAGGCCATCTTCTGGGAAGAAACCCAGAATTTGATCTTGTCTATGGGTTCCAGACTTCAGGCAAGGAAATATTTGTGTCAGATACTCAAAGTCATGCCCGCATTGATGCTTGAATGCATAAAATCATTCACACGTAACCATGAAGACATATGTCAGGATAGTGTCTGTGCTATTGACACTTGTCTAAAGAAAACAAAATTTGGACATGCCTGTGACACCCCCAGATTTCCATCTGCACACTGCGATTCAATGCCAGACAGGTGCTCTATTTAGATTTATATGATAAGCTAGAATCATTCACTTTGCCTGTTCCCTCCTCTTTATTGATGTATAGTGTGTTTGTTCTCTTCTGACCTTGCTTGCCGGAGTCAGGGTCAATAATTTTATTTATTTATATGTATTTAGCGCTCAAAGTAAAGCCTCTGAAATGCCCGATTTCATTGCATTCTCTGAAGCCTGTATCTTCTCCACCCACATCCTGTCACCAAACAACATTTTTGAAAACCCTTATTTGCGTGCTGTAGAGGAGTGATTTGGAAAACTGCTCTCAAACAACTTGACTTTCCTGTCTGACATGCCTGACTCTCTCGAGTCTGCGTCAGAATCCTGTCACCATAATTTGAATTCGATCCTATTACCATGTGGAAACAATCATTACCTAGAGAAGGGAAAGAGAAGGGAAACTTGTGGAGTTGTGGCCCAAAAGCATACTTGCTTCACCGATAATTGTTCATCTACAGGGGGCTATAAATCAAGGGTCACCAGTAATGATCACAGAGATCACCATAGCCTGCTGATTTTTAATTTAAAGTTCTTTAGGGTCTTTTACAAGAAAGCAGAAACCAGAAGACCCTCTGGCTTTACAAGGACAAGGTCAGAATGACTGCTGAAAATGAACAAGGGTGCATTTCCCAAAATCACAGATGCTAACTTAAGTAGTTGGGCTCATTGACTGTGAATGGACAAACTATGTAAGTTGCTAACTTAGTTAGCAACTACACTTTTGGGAAACCCGCCCCAGGATTGGTAGTGATGCCTGAGGAGGGAAATCAAGAGTATATGGCAAAATGATTTTTAAATATATTTTTAAAAATGGTTGAAATATAAGCAGCTGCAATATATAGTCAAGTCCACAAGTGTTTGGACAGCAGCACAAATTTCTTCATTTTCGCTCAGTATGGTAGTGCAATGTATTTGAAATAAATTAATCAAGAAGCACTTGTAGGGTAAACTTTTCGGTTTAAAAGGCAATTTTTATCAGCAAGGTGGAAAAAAAAGGTTAATTTTGTGGTGGCAATCAAATATAGATCTGTCATGTACAAATATTTGTCATGTCATTGTGGTATAGCATAAAAGTACAGCAGTGTCACTCTGAATAGTATTTTTACGTTGTAAGTCATCAGTAATGGACGGACACGGCATTATATAAAAAGGCCAAAATTACTCATCACATGAAACGCATACTGCAGAGGAGAAACACAGGAAACCGATAAACAAACAAACAAAAATCTGTCTGCTGTTCCATGCAAACTACAAAGAAATCAGGATGGGTCAACGTGATAGAATGTTTAGGGTAGCTGTTATGCAACTAAGGTAGCAGCTGTAATGTGGGGAGAAAAAAAAAAAGCCACTAGATGGCAGTATTGACATTTTTTTTGTTAAGCCAGTCTGGAACTAGGTTTTGGGCATGTCCTGGGCATGCCTCAGAGGGGGCTGGAAAAGAGTATATAAGGAGAAAAATCGAGAGAGTGTAGTAGTAGGAGAAATTGCAAGGAGAAATTGTGGAAGGATATATTTGACCAGACCTGTCACTCTTTTCAAGACCTGTGAAGCTTTTTGTGGATTTTTGCCTGTGTTGGAGCATTTTCCTGTCCCAGGACATTGCAAAGCCCATCTCCATTAAAAAGGAACTGTAAATTTCTCATTTTTTATTTGATTTCAATCTTGGTCAGTAGGGTAGAGTGTAAATTAGTTCTAAGTGTTTGTTTAATTAAATCTGTTGAAGTTGAAGAATTTTGTCTGTCATCTCTTGCTAAGTCATATAACAAGGCGTCCCATAACAAATTGGGGCCATAACACAGCGCAAAGTGCAAATAATCTGCTTACTGTGTAGTTGCAAAATGGTATCTCGTCACTTGCAAACAATCTATCTCATCAACATCTGCCCTGAATGGTATCTATCTATCTCATCAACATGTCTGACATTTACAGACAACTTTGAGTGACAGCTTTTATCTGAGGTCTTGTCTATCTGCCACAAGGAAAGAAAGGAACTCCGTCAATCTTCCATTATATCTCGCTGTAAATG